AAACGCGGGGGAGCCGATGTGGTATCTGGGGCCAAATGAGGGGACGTTCTGTGACTGCCATCGCTAGGGCTCTCAGCAGCCTAGTGCTCCCTGGATGTCTGTGTGACTGCCTGCCAGGAGCACTCTTAGAGAAATAGGAGGGAGAGGAAGAGAGGAATGGCAGGGAGAGGAGGAGAGGGAGGGCAGGGAGAGGAGGAGAGGAGGGCAGGGAGAGGAAGAGGGAGGACAGGGAGAAGAGAGGGAGGGCAGGGAAAGGAGGAGAGGAGGGCAGGGAGAAGGAGGACAGGGAGAGGAGGAGAGGGAGGGCAGGGAGAAGAGGAGAGGGAGGGCAGGGAGAAGAGAGGGAGGGCAGGGAGAGGAGAAGAGGAATGGCAGGGAGAGGAGGAGAGGGGGGGCAGGGAGTACAGGGTCCTGGAGCAGGGTGGGGGGTACTAGGTACTCAGTACTAGGTGAGAGGATTGAGCAGAGGCCAGTGGAATGGCTTGAGGCACCTCATGCAGAGTGGAGCAGAAAGCTGGGTACTTGGTCCTGGTCTGACGGCCAGGAGACTGGGGCGAGGGGCGGGTGGGAATCCAGGAACTCATCACCTTGAGGACTCCCACTGGGCACTCCTGGCAGGGTGAACCTGCCTGTGCAAGATGCCCGCGAGGACTCAGGGCAGGTAGAGGGAAGACAAGTGACATCTCGGGGCCACAGGCTCTTGTGCCCACCACTCTCTGGACTTCTTTCTGGGGAGGGAGTACAGACGCAAGCCTGTCCTCGCCCTGTATTTCTTGGCAGACCTGCAGGCAATCTCCGTTTCCTTCCTACCCCACAGTCCCGCTGCCTCAGGCCCGGCTGACCTTTACCTGGGCCACTCTGTCTTTGAGCACCTCTCTTCCTTTCACCTCTCTTCCTCCCTGTAATTCTGCCCAGAGGAAAGAAAATCCATTATTTGTCAATAAATGCAGCCTCCCATGGTGACATAGCAAAAAGGAAAGGGACAAGAAAGGTAGCATTAGTGATTTTCTTTAGACTGACTGGGCTGGTTATTAGCGGCCGTGGGCTCAGACAGCAGAGCTTATTTTCACGGTTATGCACAGATTCCCCTCTGAGTAGCAGGGCCAGAGTTTCTCGCTCTCTCTCCTCTCCACCAGCTCCATTACCCAAGGGGAAATTTTGCATTTGGCCTCGGAGAGTCAGGGTTTCATCCTCTTTCAGAGAGGGCTTTTAGTACGGCATCGTCACAATGTCAGAGGGATGGCAATATTCCCACTCTGGATTCCTGCCACGGTGGGTGGCATCTCAGGGGACAGTGGCCTACATGTGGCAAATAAGTGGCCAACCAAGGGTAAGCCAAGAGACCTCCAGCCTGCCTGTTTGACTTCTGGCTCTAAAGAGGGACGCTATCCTCAGTCATCTGCATTGAGGTGTTGACTGAGCACAGACCAGATGCGGACTAATATGATTTATGCGGTGTCATAAATCATATTACGGCCCTGGTCTCTCTACATTAGTATCTCATCCTCACGATGACTTACAAGTAGTTTATTATCATCTCTGTTGCACAGATAAGGGAAAATAAAGTTCAGAGGAGTTAACTCCAACTCCACATTGCTTCAGACCCAAGTTCAGAGCCAAATTCAGGCCGACTATTTCCAGAGATATGTGGTCACTCCCACAGTTCGGTGGCTGTCAAAATTTAACTGGCATCCCACACGCCCTACAGTGAAAATCTCTCCAAAAAAAAAAAAAAAAATTTAACTGGCATCCGAATCACCTGAAAGGCCTGTGAAACACAGGTCCCAGTTCCATCCCTGGTGTCTGATGTGACAGGTGTGGGTCAGTGAAAATCTCTCCAAAAAAAAAAAAAAAATTTAACTGGCATCCGAATCACCTGAAAGGCCTGTGAAACACAGGTCCCAGTTCCATCCCTGGTGTCTGATGTGACAGGTGTGGGTGGGGCCTGGGAATTTTCTCTGCTCAGTGCTTCCCAGGTGATGCTGAGGCTGCTGCCTGGGGGCCTCCCTTAATGAAGCAGTGTCCTGAGCCACGGTGCTTGTCACCAGGTAATACACCTGAAGCAGCAAAGTGCAGCCCAAAGCCCCCCAGGAAGCAGTGCAGGGCTGTACCCGAGAGGGGTGGCAGTAAACACACCTGAGGACAATGAGAGCAACCGGAGCCATACCCCACCCTTCCAGGCAAGCTGGGCTGTCAGCCAGGGCCACAGAGCCCCTGCCTTCAACCATATCTCTCTGACAATGGTCACTTCCACTTCCTTCTCCTGCAGGTTTACCCTGTGGGGCGTGGACAACACAGGACGACGCTCCAGGCCGAGTGACGTAATCGTGAAGACCCCTTGCCCCGTGGTGGATGATGTCAAAGCCCAAGGTAAGAGATGTTGAGGTCAGCAGAGTCTGCAAAGGGATGCGCAGGGAGCTCGCCTGGCCACGAGGACAGAGAGACCAGGAGTCATACACAACAACTAGCAGTTCCGCGAGGACGAGGAAGGATTCACAGCCCAGGGCAGGTCCTCCTCAGTCTCTGTACTCTGGCTGAAGTTCTGGCTGGATCCCACTATTCTCCACTGTCTGTAAGTCGAGGAGCCCCCTCTGATGGGAGCCCCTCTGATGGAGTCCCTGTGCAAGGATGGGCACATACCAGGTGCTCAGGTTTGAGGTGAAGGACCTGTGACCTCTGCCCTCAGCATACTGGTGGGTCATTCATTCTCTTCATAGTCTTTGACGGATCTGAAGGGCTATTTTGAATTAAAATATAGCCAGGGTACACATTAGAATGAGTTACTATATCACTCGCTCCCTAGCAAAGACGTGTCAGAGTCTTTTACTCTGTGTTTTGGAGTCATTATGAACCAGTTCTCTAAAGAACCGGCCCTCTTCAGTACAAGCCTGCCACCAGGACAGCCTTTGTAGGTCAGGACGAGTTTGTCTTCAGTCAGCACCATTGCAGAAAAAGCTCGCCTTTCTCCGCACGACACTTGCTGCCTGGTCTTGAGGTTATGTCCTGCTCTGAGGTTTTCACAGTCACAGTTGTTCCATCCTCGCCTCCACTTCTGCAGGCCGCAGACGGATTCAGTTGATCAGATCAGCCACTAACGGATTCGCAGGACTGAACTGATGGCGCTCCTGCACTAGCATACCCTTTGACTGGCGCCGGAAGTGTAGGTCATGCAGTTTCACTAAGAGAAATATTGTGGCTAAGCTACTTTGCAGATACCCCTCAGGTCCCCTTATATGTGCCTCCTAACTCCAGTTGTATCAGACCAACCAAAAGAGACACAACCCCAGAATGTCCAAGCGGTCACTCCAGAATGGTACAGTCAGGAGGAAGAGTGACCTAGACTTTTACTAAAACCACTGAAACTACACAACTTCTGCAAAGGTGTTCCCATTTAATCTGCAGGCCATGTTAAAGGCACAGTAATTTTCAATAGACATCTGATAATATCAAGGTCACCTTCTTAAATCTCTTAAATGGATTGCCATTTCTTTTGTGACAGAAATAGTTACCAGGCATCCTGTGACTTAAATCAGTAGCCACTGCTGACCTCTCCAACACCTTCTTGCTCAGGCTCTCTGTCAGTCTCTGCATTCCAGCCTCCCTGCATTCCTCAGTCCCTCTAGCACCATCTCTGCTTCTGCCACGGGGCCTTTGCACATGTTGGTCCCATTCCCTAGAATGCTTTCCACACTCCCCCTTTTCACCTGGTTAGCTCCTCTCAGCCTGCAGATCTTAGATCAAATGTTCCTTCCTCCTAGGAGAATGGGGCAGGAGCCATTATTAGGCATCCTCGTGTGAGCGTGTTTCTTTCTGTCAGAACATGCATCTCAGCTTGTCATATGAGGTGCTCAAGGTCTGTCTACCTCCCTAGCCAAGGAGCTCCTTGAGAGCAGGATTGCAATTTGGTTTGTTCACTCTCCCTCGTGTCCCTACACCTGAAGGGGGCCTGGTTGACTGACTGGTTATGAAAGGACTTAGCCTTGGGAGTCAAAGCACAAGTTCAAAGTTCTGCCTCACTTTCTAACTGCATCACATTGAGCAGTTGACTTCACCCATGCCTCAGTTACTCAATTGTATAATGTGGGGGAATAATAGACCCTAGCTAGTGAGGTTCTAATGAGAATTAAATGAGTTACTTAATTTAAAATAATAAAAACAGGCAGACAAAACCAGTGCCTGGCACAGAGGCAATATTGAGTAAATGTTATCTACTGTTATTATCAACAATGAAGCATAGGACCTGGGCTCTCTAATAAAAACTCAGTCAATGGGACCAGCAGATGGCGTAATGGTTACATTGCTGGACTCTCAAATGGCCAACCAGGGTTCGAATCCCAACCTAGCAACTTGAACACGGTGGACACGTGTGTGTGGCCAAAATTCCAAGAGGAGAATGGAGTAGAAGGGATTGCAGCATAGCCATCCCCCTGGGAGATTTCTTGCTTTCTGTCTCTCTGTCTCTCTCGCCAGTACACATGCCCTATAGCAAAAATCTCCCTAAAACGAAACAAAGCAAAAAACTTAGTAAGTATTTACTGAATGAATAGAATGTCACCCTCATTTTATAGATGTGGAAACTGAGGTTTAGAACACAGTAAGTAAGGTGGCCACGGTCACAAAAGATCTAATAGAACCAGCACTCAGCCTCATCATTTGACCTCAATTCCCATTTTGTCAGCAATTTTACCATTAGATATTTAGAAGGTCATTTTGTAAAAGACTAAAAACCCTTTCCTCATCATTGAATAATGATGAAGAAAAGGCTTACATTAAGAAAGAGTGCCTTTTTTTTAAGAGAGAGAGAGAGAGAGATTTTTGCTATGCATTCACCAGAGAGACAGAAAACGAATGATCACCTCCACCTCCCCACCCCCCACAGGAGGATGGCCACCCTGCAAACCCTTCTCCTCTATTCTCCTCTTAGAATTTTGGGCACACACACACACACACCCAGTGTGTTTTAAGCCTCCAGGTCTAGGACTCAAACCATGGTCAACTACATGGGAGTCAAGTGGTGTAACCATTACACCAGCTGCTTGTCCCAAGAAGGAATGCTTTTGAGCCAGTAGGTGGCATGGAGGTTAAGAAGCTGAATCCCAAACGACCAACTATATAATTCAAGTCCCAGACCCAGGGGCTTGAAAATCCTGCTGGGCACGTGTATGTGCATGCCCAAAATCTCAAGGAGAGATTAGAGGAAAAGGGATTGCAGTGTGGCCATCTGCAGAGGTGATTTCTCCTTTCCCCTCTCTCTTTCTGTCTCTCTGTCTAGCACATGAGTTCTATAGCAAAAACAAACAAACAACAACAACAACAAAGAAACAAACAAACACAAAGAAGCAAAAGAACACTCAAGCTAGATACTGAGTTAGATACAAAAAGTGTCTCCCTTTCAGGACAGTTGGTGTCCACTAGGGACATTCCAGTAGCCCAGAGCCCTCTATGTGTAAGACAGTGGGCTTCTCTGTGGAGTGAGTGCTGCTGGCTTACAGGGTACCAAGTGGAGACTTCGAAAGTTTCTGTAATTCCTTGATGATGGAAGAAGAGGCTGAGGTTGAAAACCCAGATGAGACTGTCAGAAAGAACCCACAGCACTCTCCTTTCATCATCTGCTGATTTCTCACTGTGAGCCAGAGAGGAGCAGGTAATGAGAAGGTGCCTCTGCTCTTTCCAGACTGGAGAGTTTGCTGGTGTCCTGGGAGGCAGCGGTCGTCTGCTGAGAGTGGTTTGCTGAGTCGGCAGCAGGCTGAGGGAATGTCAGAGGTGCTTAGTAGGTGGAGGGGTGAAGTGTGACAGTGACACCACCTACAGTGATGGACAGACAGAAAGGAGCTCTAAAATAAAGAGTGGCTAACACAGGGAAGCCTGCCAGAAACAGCCCCCTACATGCTGCTCTCTGTGGGGTCCTGAGGGACAGCTCCAGTCCCATAGGATGCATCATGAAGTGTTCTGTCTGCTTGTGCTCCCTGACAAAGGAGAAATCCCAGCAGACCAGCTGGGAGCACAAGAGCTGATTTAGTGCTGAGAGAATGAAATAACACTCCTAGGTCCTGTTACCCTTCAGCCAGGAAAGAGGCCTGAAAAGAACAAATGTGGAGATTAATGAGTTGGACTAATTGAGGGTATCCTTGCAAATTAATATAGTTCTAGCAGTTCGACTAAAAACCATATGCTTTGCCTTCCTCAAACCCAGATGGTGATCATAAATATAATTCACTCGGGTCTGAGTTGAAATCTAATAACAAATGGGAATTACCTTTTAAGTGACCCAGAGCATGACTTCGGCTCCTAATTATCTAGCTGGGAGCCAGATTCTATCTCTTATATGAACACTTTACCTAAAGCAGATAGTTTCCATAAAGAATTTTTAACACATCATGACACTAAAACCACTGTGTAAGTTCCTACCAATGTTTTACTAAAACCAGCCTTCCCCTTGTGGGTGTAAATTCATGGAAATAGCAAGATCAACTCCACTGGCTACTCTCTGGGCTGGACTCAAGCTTCTGAGAGTCTTCATGCAGCTTCCCCAAGGGAAGACTTGTTCTCGCCCACCTCTCCCCCCAACACCCGTCCTCCCTGCTGCCAAACACAAATCCTTATCTATTCCCTTATTTCTCTTTCCAAAGTCATTTATTAAACTCTGCTATTAGGTTCTAAAGAAACAAAAATAATTAGTCTCAGAGACTCTTTTCAAGAATTTCCTAAATTTATGAATTCATGCAGCAAATAATAATAAGTGGCTAAGGCGCTGGACTCCCACATAACTGACCATGGCTCAAGTTCTGGACCTGGAGTCTTGAAACTCATGTCAGGTGTGTGCATGTGTCCTCAAATCCTAAGAGGAGAATGGGGATGAAGGGAATATGGTGTGGCCATCCCCTGAGGGGGGTGATTTCTCACTGTCTCTCTCTGTATCTTCAGTGAGCATCCACACTCTATAATCTTTTATTTTCTTTTTTTGGAAAGGTTTTTGCTACAGGGCACATGTGCTCGCCAGAAAAAGAGAGAGACAGAGAGACAGAAAGCGAGAACCCCCCCTCCGGGGTTATGGCCATGCCGCAATCCCTTTTCCTCCTTTCTCCTCTTGGGATCTTGGGCTCACACGTACACATGCCCAGCATGAGTTTAAGCCACCGGGTCCGAGATTCGAACCACGGTCGACTACATGGGAGTCCAGCAGCATAGCCATTATGGTAACTTCTGGTCCCTGCATCCTATAATCTTAATAAGCCCTTACCAAATACGTCCCTAGGCATTAGGAGCAATCCCCCTGCCTCCTGAAGCTTAGATTCTAGCAGGGTTGACAGACAACAATGAAGTATGAAATTCATAATATTTCAGACAATACAAGTGTATCTTAAGAAAATAAACAAGCAGGTATATGGGCTAGGAAGTGCAGAGAGTGGAATATTAACTAGGGTGGTGTGGGGAGAAGGTGAAAGATGTAGCCACACAAATAGCTGCGGGGAGACCATTCCAGCTAAGGAGCAGCTGTACCGGGAATATTGTCATGTTTGAGGAAGAAGAGGAAGGAGGTTTGGCGTGCTAAAGAAGAGAAGGTATGTTTGAAGATGAGAAAAAAGGCTCATGATTCTTGGCTCATGTTTGAAGATGAGGAAAGAGAGGAAGGTGGGAGAGGAAGATACAGGAGAGGTGCTCCCAGACAATGTGGGGCAACTCCTGTAGCTTCTGGTTGTCAGAATAGGGAACTGGGCTCTGCCTGGGATTGGGGTGGGAAGCCCAGAAGACTCTGGGCAGGACAGTGACATGAAGGGACTTAGTGTTTTATAGATCATTCTGATTGCCGTGCTGAGAACTGACTCCACCTAGGGGCATATGGGGAAATTCGGGGGGCCAATGAGGGGTTATGGCAATTTAGGGGAGAAGTGATGTTGTTTTCAACAAGAATGATATTGGCAGATTGGGTGTGGAGTCTGAGAAAAACAAGAATCGTGTTAATCTTCTCATATTGTGAAAAATGCTGCAACAGGTATGTACAGATATGGAGGGAACAGAAGCCAGCTCACCTGCTTCAATGGCTTATGGCCCACCCACTCCTTTCCCAAAGACTCCAGCAGCCTAAGCAAGCAAAGAAAAGGCAGAAGAGGGAGTAAGCTCACTGAGGGTACTAGTCATGAACCATGTGGACTAGGTCATACAGAGAGGAAATGAATACAGAGCTGACACCGGAGTGGATGGAGGAGCCAAAAGACTTGGGTTTGTGTCACTGAAGAATGGATTCCAGAGCAGTTAAGAAAGACAGAAGCTGTGGACGGAGGTTGTGCTTATAGTGTATGATGTTAAGGCTTACTACCTCAAAGAGGGAACAGTTCTCAAGGATAATGTTGGCTTTTAGTGGCCAGAGATCCCTAGACTTGGAGAGTGAAGTTACCCGTGATGGAAATGAGGTGAAGAAGAGGACCCAAATGCCAGATTCTTTAGTGGACATAGGAGAATGGTCAGGAAATGTGTTGAGGAAATATGAAGAGGCATGTGCATTCTGAAAGTGGAGGTGGCCACCAGTGGCTCCTCTTCTCTGGTTAGGAGAGAAGGAGCCCTCTGTCCTGGAGAAGGCTTTGGCTAACATAGAGCTGTGAAGGGAAGGAACAGGGTGTGCCCACCAGGGTCGAGGGTGAGTTGTTTCCTATGTAATGACAGGTCTTCGGAGTGTTCCTAATGCATATTATGAGAAAACTAGGTATGGATTTCAAAAAATTTTTGCACCAACATAAGCTTATACTTTAATTCTATTTTTCTTCGAGCTTTTTGAAATACTCTTATAATGCTGGTCCCAGAGGGAGTAAGGGAAGTTTGGAGAGAGAGAGACTGAGTTAGTGCAGAACCGTGGTTCTCAAAGTGGTGCCCAGACCAGCATTATCAGCATGGAGCATGTCAGCAATGCAGACCCTCAGGCTCCATGTGAGACCCACTGAGTTAGGAACTGCAGCAGGCACTGGCAGTCTGAGTTTCAGCAAACGTTCCAGGTGATTCTGATACATGTGGGAGCAACACAGAGAAAGTTGGGGAGAGGCAGTGAAGGGAAAAAGACATACAGGGTCTGGGGGAAAGGGACCTTGTTATATGAACAGTGCTAAGAAGGGCAAAGATGAAAGGACAGTTAAAGAGGTTGTCCTCGTGTTTTCATATAGACTTGCATGGGGGAAGGCTGAGGTTGCAGCTAGCTCCCTAAGAATAAGGAAGGTGATAGAGGAGGACCTCTAATCAGGGGTCCTAATTTATGTTCTGTTGCCAAGGAAGCCATCAATGGAAGGTGTAGGTGCTTCCATCTTCTTAGTGAATGTAAAAGGAGCAGCCACCACTGGGGCATGAGAAAGCTCACTTCTGTCCCTCTCCTTTAAATTAGTCTCTCTCATTTAAATCAGACCAGTTTCCCCAGTCCTTTGGATCTCTCTGTCTCTTTGTCTCTCTCTTTTGCATTGGAGAAAGCATGATCTAGTAAGGAACCAGTAACAGTTTAAATATAGCCTCTGTGCTGTGCTGGTGTTTCCTCTCCCTGCATGCTCTCCTCCAGACACCCCTGCAGCTCACAGCCTTTTCAGAGGGGCCAGCATGACCACCATATTTGAAATCATGGTATCCCAACTTAGCACTCCCAAATTGCCGCCTTCTGCTTTATTTTTTTTCATACTTTCTAACACATCATATTTACTTATTGTTTACCTGTTTCTTTCTCTTTTTTCTTTTTTTTTGGGGGAGAGGTTTTTCCTATAGGGGGTGTGCACTCGCCAGAAAGACAGAGAGAAAGAGACAGAAAGTGAGAGATCACCCCCGAGGGGCGATGGCCACGCTGCAGTCCCTTCTCCTCCATTCTCCTCTTGGGATCTTGGGCATGCATGTACACGCACACGGTGTGAGTTTAAGCCACCGGGTCCGGGACTCAAAACTGCGGTCGACTACATGGGAGTCCAGCAGCATAACCACAATTCCAACTGCTGGTCCCTACCTGACTGTTTCTTATCACCAGACTGTAAATGCTGTAAGGGTGAGCATTTTCGTCATATTCCCTTACTGATGTCCTAAGTGCCTAGAAAAATGTCAGGCACATGCTCATAAAAATGTTATTGTGTAACTTCACTGAGTATGTGTACAGACATTGTGCTCAAGAAAGGTTTTATGTTTAATATCAGATTTTTTTCCCTCACAATAATTCAGAAGGCATATATTCTTAAGCATCACTGAACAGTCCAGGAAACTATGACTCAGAGAGGTTAAGTAACTTATCCAAGGCCACACAGCTGGTGTAGTGAAGCCCAACTCCATTTGATGCCATGTGCCTATTTTAAAACCATACCCTTGGGCCAAAGAGTCTCCACCACAGCCCTGTTAACTTATTTTGCTGCCTGAGTGATCAAAGTTTCTTTCTAGTAACAGTTTTCTTTTTTGTAATGAGGTTGTATAGAAAGACTTCTTGCCACCTTTTTCTCTGTGTGTTACCTATTCCTGAACATTACACATTCTCTTCCTTTCTTTGAGTTACTGATATTTTTGAGATGCCACAAAAACTAATGAAGTATGATCTCTGAGTTCTCTCAGTGGAGATAGGAAGAGCCAAGAATACCAACCTCTAGAAGCCTGGCACATAGAACTTTTGGAATGATGCATACCCATGTACTAGTGCTTTCTCCTGGGTACACCCAGGAGTCAGATTCTCTTGGCTTTCGGAGACTCATGGTAGACTCTGGTCCTATCCCACACACTGCAGATGACAGGAAGCTAGATATGACTGTTGTTATGAAATTGGAAAATATGTCAGAAAACCCCTTCTCACTGGCAGTGTTCCTCAGCAAAGACTCACAATGAAGGCTTAAGACATGGACCTTTATTTCTTATCACAAGAGAGGAAAACAGGTTGGCATGTCATTTTCCCTAGGCTTTAGGTTAAATATTCTTGAAGTAACTTCATACACACACATACACATCTATCAATCTATCTATCTGTATATATATATATCAATATGCATGCCTATATATATATTTATGTGTGTATATATGTTATATACGATACATATATGTGTTGCATGAGGGGACTTCAAAAAGTCTGTGGAAAAAAAAAAACAAATTAAAAGTACAAATTTACTTTTGTGTAAAACACAATTTTTATAATTGCTAGAGGTGGCAGAGTGGTTAAGGCACTGGACTCCCATGTGGTTGACTGTGGTTTGAGTCCTGGGCCCGGCAGCTTGAAATTCATACTGGGTGCATGTGTGTGTCCAAAATCCCAAGAGGAGAATGCATTGCAGTGTGACCATCCTTCTTGGGCAGTTGATTTCTCATTTTCTGTAAGCACACACACCCTATAGCAAAAATCTCTGAAAAAAAAAAAAAAGAAAGAAAGAAAGGAAGGAAGAAAATTGCCAGAGAGCATGTTTACTCAACAGAGAAAGGCAAAGAGAGAGGGAAAAAGCCTCCCACTATGGGGCATGGCCACACCACAATCCCTTCTCCTCCATTTCTCTACTCACCCTGTTGGGATTTGGGGCACAAATACACAAGCATTTGGAATATTTTTCAAGGCAGAGGGTCTGGGATTTGAACCTTGTCAGCTTTGTTCATATGGTTATCCTTAACCATGAGGCTCTGGGGCTGCTCAAAGTGCAAAAATTTTTAAATTAATACATGTTGTCTTTTTTGTTTTGTTTTAAAGTTTTTTTGCCACAGGGCATGTGCACTCACCAGAGAGACAGTGAGAGGGAAAGTGACAAATAACTCCCCAGGGAAGATAGCCATGCCACAATCCCTTCTCTTTCACTTTCCTCCTGGGATTTTGGGCACACACGCACACATGCCTGGTGTGATTTTCAAGCCAGTGGGTCTGGTACTCAAACTGTAGTTGGCCATCTGGGAATCCAGCACCCCAAACATCATGCCACCTGCTGGACCCAATATCTAGTTATTTTTAAAATTCACATTTTTGTGAATTTTGAAGACCCTTTGTGTTACTGTATGTGTGTGTCTTATTTACTTGCCTTTCCCCCCTTTTCAGAAATAGCAGACAAGATCTACAATCTCTTCAATGGCTATACCAGTGGGAAGGAGCAACAGACAGCCTACAACACCCTTCTGGATCTGGGTTCCCCCACCTTACATCGAGTCCTCTACCACTATAACCAACACTATGAGAGTTTCGGAGAATTCACCTGGCGGTGTGAGGATGAGTTAGGCCCGAGGTAATCAATAAATTTCCTTAAACATTCTGAAATTTTATAACTCTTATAGTGTAATACTGTGTTGCAGACATTTCCTGGGTGAGCTTAGGTGTTCAGAGAACTAAGTCCCCAGCTTTTAAACAGCTCCAGTCATGCAGATGGAGTGTCAAGGCATGAATGCATTTCCTGCTCTTTGTGAAACCCTTAGCTCTTGACCTGCTTTACCCTCCTCTTTTTTCAGGATGACACAGCATTCCGAAAAATGTTTATTTCATTTGAAGCTTGCATACATGATAGCATTATAGACCTCTTTTGAGTTAAATTCCACATTCTCTTAAAAGGCAACATAGGAGCAGCCAGAGACTCACCAGAACACTTGTCTTGGCCAACTGAGGATGGCACAGTGCTTGCCAACATCCTAATACTCAATATCCACTGCATTTAGGTTGTGCAGACTGCATAGAGTTCTTGGAAAGTAAGGAGTAAGAAGAATGTGTAGAGATAATCACCTTTTTATCTCTTTTTCTTTTTTTTTTCTTAAATATATTTTTGCCATAGGGCACGTGTACTCATCAGAGAGGCAGAAAGTGAGAAATCACCCCTCAGTGGGGGATGGCCATGTCACAGTCCCTTCTTCTTCATTCTCCTCTCAGGATTTGGGCATGCACGCACATGTGCCCAGTGTGTTTCAGGCCTCTGGATCTGGGACTCAAACTGTGGTCGACCCCGTGGGAGTCTAGCACCTTAACCATAGCACCACCTGCTAGCCCTGATAAGCAGCTTTATTTTGCTTCATTCATCATGGCTGTATATTGGTGCTTTGAGAAAATAGACTTCCCTGGAAATACTAGAATTTTCAGATAGGCAAGATAAAGAAGATTTTTCACATGGAATGTTGGTATCTGTATTTCCTCAAATTATTTAGGAAACTTATAATGAAAAAAAATGAGGCAAAGGCTGTAAAACTAGGAAAAAAACAGAAGATAAGAAAGAAAGAGGAAGAAAGAAAAAGGAAGAAGCAAGGAAGAGAGAAAGGAAAGCATGAACAAGAAGAAAATCAACATTGCAGAACCCTCTGGCACTTCAAGAATTACTGCACTCTAGCCAGGAGGACTGGATGAAAGTGTTACCCACCCAGAAGCTATCCCACTCAACTGCCCTCTCACCAAACTGGAAGGAGACTCAGCCTCAGGGAGCCTGTTGTAACCAGCAGTTATAAAATTTTCTAGAAGACCGTTGTTCAGGACACTTTTCCTTTATTTTCTTACCTTTGAAGAAAAGAGAAAATTCAGGGTTATCTTCCTGAAATAAAATGATTTCATCTGTAAGGGTAGACAGGATCATTCTACATGTCATAAATTATTTCCTAATGTTTATAAAGGGTGATAGGTTTTGGGAAACCACATGTCACTACTGTCAATGAACCAGAGAGAAATATGTCAGGGACATCTAATTTGTTTTGTCTCCATTTTGGTAAGAAGAAAACCCTGGGTTACAAAATAGATACATGATAAAAAATGTTCTCTCCTCTCCATCCCCTGTCTTCACTCCAGACTACGATCACTGACACCTGCTACCATCCCCCTTTCTAACTCCTTTTCCTCTCTCTGTCCCCCTCTGTTCTACTTCCCCTTCCATGTGCTCCCTTCCTCTTTTTGGCCCCACCCCCTCTCTCTCCATTCTTCTGACATTTATTGAGTGTATATATATATATATATATACATATAGTTCTTCCATAGGGAACATAAATGTCATAATTTAAATAGTACTAACATTGCATCTTGATTTCTAAGGGCATTTGGAATGCTTTTAAAACTTCTCTCTTGTGACTCAGGAGTCAGAAGGAAAATTGGTTATGAAGAAACCAGGCAGAGTTACATTGTGGTTCCCACTTTAAAGCAAGGCCGCTGCTGACCGTGTCCTCTCCCCCCACGAGGCTCCTCCATGCGCACTGTTAGTCCTTCATGGCTGTATCTGACAAAAGGTGTCATTTCATCAGCCCATGAAAAGTAAAGTCTTGTGTTTAGTGTCATGATCTCAGGGAGAGGCACAGGAAAGGAAAGGCCCTCCTTGTTGAGCTACCTCAGCCCACTTTGGGGTTAGTTGTGAGAATGGCTTGGAAAGGTCAGTGGGTTCGTCCTTCTTGTAAGCAAGCAGAAAGGATTTCCTCCGTTCATTTGAATCTATTAGGTCATTAGCAAAGTCATAACTATTTTTCTGTTTTCCTAAGAAAAATGTGTCATGACTTTTCCAACAACCCAGTAATTCCATTAAAAGTCATGGAGGCCTCCAGATTGAATTAAAAGTTGAAAACACTTTGATTTGGTTGCTCTTCTACAAAGAAAGAAGGTGGCTGCAGGCTCGGGGATAGTCAAGTCCCAAATCCAGTATTAATATTAAAGTGAGCAATGCGAGCAGCAACAGAGACTCTGTGGGCTAGTTCAATGCATTCTTTTGGAAGGATGGCTCAGTATGTTCCTTTACTCACTTCTTCCTCATTCCCCCTTGTCCTCCATCCCCCAATAATTTGTCAACACCTAATGGCATATTGTAGTATAGACTGAGAGGAAAGGCCACCAAAGTCCTCGCTTTGATGACTTTTGGAAAACCTGCTCGGCCATACTGCAGAGGCTGCTGGGGAGAGCAGAGAGAATCTGCCCAAGATGCTGTTTGGTCAGCAGACAGAGTGTTTGTTTGATTTCCTCTGACCCACCATTGAAGTTGGAGAGAATACAACTGTCCCTCCAATGACTTCACAGCACTCTTACCCCTTGACTTTGCTGCTGAAGAACACCACCTTTCTCCCATCATCATCCCTGCCTTCCCCTCTTAGGAATGCATGAGGTCATCCATTGATGACATTCATGTCTACATAGACAAGGAGGAACAAAATGAATGTGATTATTGTTCTTTGGAAGCTCATTCTAAATGAAGTGAAGAAACTCCCGGTTTCTGGAAGGAATTGTTGATTAAACTAAAAGACTTCTTCACATGAGAAGAAAGTTAACTTAGAAGTTGATAAATACTGCAAAGAATCATGTTCAATGGGTTTTCCAGGATGGCATGTTGCAGCTTCCTGTGGACTTGTTGAAATAAAATAACCTTCCTTTGGGAGTCACTTAGGTCTTTGAAGAACAAAACTGAGTGAGGGGATACTGCTGCTTTGCTCCCTTTGTGTGTTCAGAGTCAAAGCCACCGGGATTTGAGAACTGGCTATCAGGTAGCCCTGATCTGTGTCACCAGAAGGGGGCATCAGGAAGCAGGGGATACACCAGTAAAGTTCATTTTCCACATGCCAGATGCTCTTCACCATGTTCTGGACCCAGAGGTCACCCATTCCCTTTGTGTGTGGTCTCCCTCTCCTCTCTCCTTTCTCTCTCAGAAATCTGCAAAGGCTCAGGGCCTCCTCATCATCACTTACCCCCACTCTTTAGGGATATGTGTCAATGGCAGTGGCCTCCTCATTTTCCAAGAGTTGTGAAGAATGGACCCAGGGCTCAGCTGGACATTAACTAGGTGATGTGTGCAACTGAGAGTCTGCTTTGCCCAGAGGATGACCAAGTGACAGTGTGAACTGAGGGCTGCATTGTCTTCACCTTATTAGATTGTAATTACCTCAGTACAGGTGTAATTGGTCACTTCTGATAGCCTCTCTAGTTCAATATCTTAGCTGCTGCTACTCAGTTCAGAAATAGCCTTGTAAAGAGAATTAGTGAAGCGCATTATTTGTCATTTAGTGATGATAAATTACTGACTGTAAAGAAAATCGACTTGAGGGGCCAGACAGTGACACCCTGTGAGGTTGACCCATGTTCCAGTACATGTCTGGAGACCTCTCTGAGTACTCTGGGCACACGTGTGCCCGTAATCTAGGGCTGGCTGAAGCTGGGGTCAGCATGGATCATGGTGTCAAGACCCAGGCAAGGGTGCTATTTCTCTCTCTCTGTCTCTCTCACTTATGGAAGAGATAAATACACTTATAAGATTGATTTGATAATTTTGACTTTAAAAGGATGTACGTTATCACTAAAATATTAGTGATATCTCTCTCACACTTTTTTAAATCTTTCCTTCCAGCATTTGTCTCTGTATTCTCTTTGGTGATTACCCTGCTTTGCACATCTTCCATTCAGTCATTCATTTGTTCAGTCATTCACTTGACAGATGTTTAGAGAGGACTCACTTTCTAAGTGCCAAAGATAGAACAGTGAGCAAAACAGAGCATGTTCTGCCCTCTTGAAGTTGGAGGTCTCACACTCATAGCGGCTGTTTTCCTTCCCTGGCCTTTTCTTCTGACCTTAGTATCCTGCATGTTTGATCCACAGAAAAGCAGGCCTCATCCTTTCCCAGCTTGGGGATCTGAGTAGCTGGTGCAATGGCCTCCTTCAGGAACCGAAGATAAGCTTGCGGCGCAGCTCACTAAAGTACCTGGCCTGTCGCTACAGCGAGATCAAGCCCTACGGACTGGACTGGTCAGAGCTCAGCCGGGATCTCAGGAAGACGTGTGAGGAGCAGACGCTGAGTGTCCCCTACAACGACTATGGGGATGGCAAGGACATCTAGCACCATAATGCTGCAGAATTGCTGCCAAGATGAAGCAAGAGAGAGGAAGGGGACATCTGGGTTGGTCTGTGAATTTGGATTTTTAGTATTTTTTTAATGGAACATTGAAACCTCCTCAGTGACACCTAAGCCAGGAAGAAAGTGATCCTTGCTGCCTGTAGAACTTCTTCCATATGGTGATCCCCACTTGTGTGATCAGTAGACCTGTCAGCCAGTAGCCATTTTCCCTTAGAGGGTTGCATTAAGTGATGTTTTGCTGTTAATTTGTTTCTTCCCTTTTTTCCCCCCTAAGAGTTCATCATGCTCTGAGCTCTGTCCTGCTTCCCATGAAAGTCTATCAGGTTGAGGCACCCCTGCTCCCTGAGCTCCCAAGTCCATGGCCAATGGGGGCAGAGGTGAGATCAGATGGCTGTCAGACCTGCCTCCAGCCCCATCCTCAGGTGTTCATTGGCAGCATCTCACTCTGGGATCCTCAGCCCTGCCCACAGAGAAAGGCAATGAGGACACTGGGAAGGTGGTCCCTTTTGTGCCCTATGGTTTTTCTCCCAGACCTTCTCCTGGGCTATTTCCACACCCCAAAGGCAAACCCAGCTTCCTTTACAGGCTGCAGTGAGCCTCCTGGGTCTTTGGGTCCACCCCTATTTTAAGCCAGGACTGGAATTAAATCTTCCTCTGACAGATCCCTGCTTTGCCTGAACAACGTGGCCTTTGAGAGGTGACAAAATGCCACCTTTCAAAGCATCTTCAGAGATTTCTATGTAGGAGGCTAGATAGGCCTATATAGTCTAGGAAAAAAGTGGAGTCTATTGTTAGAACACACCTATGCTTCTTAGATGAACTTCTCTTGACTGCCAGTGGATCCACATGCCTGGATCCTCTTTAGCCTCTGCCTCTCACCCTGGACAGATAAGACCAGATGTCTGATCTGGTTCAGAAGGGGTCAGTACATATGTCAGTGTTTCAGTGAACTGAAGCTATTATTGATCACAAAACACTTGTATCCGTTCCCCTCGGCTAAATGTGCATGTTATTGTCGTTCACTTCTGGGATGACCCTGAGCAACATGGCTCTACCATGGTCACTGCCTACCTACCTTCTGGAAGCAGCCAAGAGTCTGTGTAGGCAAATGCACTGACCACAGTGAAGGGCTGGGCATTGTTTCACCCTGAAAAGTGTTGGCCTGGGCACAAGTGATGGTCTAGCCAACAAAGGCCTCCTGTCAGAAAGAACCTGGCAGGGCCACATGGACAATGATGGCCTTAGCTGCCCACACACTGAAGAACCCTGAATACGTATTGTCAGATGCCCTGCCTTTAACCATGACCCCCTATTTGGAAATAAACAAGGCCGAAAAGGAAGTACAGATCCTATAAGGCCAGTTGTTGAGCTATAATTCTAATGAGTAAAACACTGACAAATAACATTTACCAAGCACCTGCTGTATGCCAGGCACTGCTCTCAGCATTTAGCATGTCACTGAATTCTCACAAGCACCTCCGAGGTAAGTGCAGTTCTTGTTTCCATTTATGTGGAAACCCAGGGAAAGA